CCCCCCTTCAGTGTTGTCCTTTTGTGCTTTTAATGATTCACACCAGTACCAGTAAATTCAAACACAAACAAGTGCACAATCACAGTGAATATGTATCTCTCTTTCCTCCTCTCCAGAAAGGGAACACAGCATTGCACATTGCTTGTCTAGCTGGGCAGAAAGAAGTTGCGAAGTTGTTGGTGAAAAGAGGAGCAGATGTAAACTCGCAATCACAGGTGGGAAAATCCTGTAAAATTATAATAATATGCCATTTTTTAAATATATAATTTTATTTAATATGATTAAAATGTAATTCAATAAAATGTTATAATGTTAAGCTTTATGGTACCTGTTGTTACTACAGAATGGCTTCACTCCACTTTATATGGCTGCTCAAGAGAATCACCTGGATGTTGTGCAATATCTTCTGGAGAATGGTGGAAACCAGAGCATGGCCACAGAGGTTTGTGATTGCGAGGGTTGTGTGTGTGTGTGTGTGTGTGTTTCCATTCATTGCAACATGCCCATACAAGTACCTACACTCTTAAAAATAAAGGTGCTTCAAAAAGTTCTTCACAGCGATGCCATAGAAGAACCATTTTTGGTTCCACAAAGAACCATTCAGTCAAAGGTTCTTTAAAGAACCATCTCTTTCTTACCTTTTTGTAATCTGAAGAACCTTATTTTGCCACAAAGAACCTTTTGTGAAACAGAAAGGTTCTTCAGATGTTAAAGGTTCTTTATGGAACCATTTAGACAAAAAGGTTCTTCTATGGCATCGTGAAGCACCTTTATTTTTAAGAGTGTAAAAAGAAAAAGTCTAAAAAGAGGAGAATATTTACACATTTCCATGCATGGACTGAGATTTTGATACCTTGCTTATTTTCTTTGTACATACATATGTGACCCTGGACCACAAAACCAGTCTTAAGTCGCTGGGGTATATTTGTAGCAGTAGCCAAAAATACATTGTATGGGTCAAAATTATTGATTTTTCTTTTATGCCAAAAATCCTTAATATCAAAGGATATTAAGTAAAGATCATGTTCCATGAAGATATTTTGTAAATTTCCTACTGTAAATATATTAAAACTTAATTTTTGATTAGTAATATGCATTGCTAAGAACTTCATTTGGACAACTTTAAAGGCGATTTTTTTAAATTATTTTTTTTGCACCCTCAGATTCCAGATTTTCAAATAGTTGTATCTCGGCCAAATATTGTCCTATCCTAATTTATTTATTCAGCTTTCAGATTATGTGTAAATCTCAATTTCGAAAAATTGACCCTTATGACTGGTTTTGTGGTCCAGGGTCACATATGTGATAGCATTGTTCAAACATGCAAGGTAAAGATTGCGTAAAACTGGATGGAAGTAAATTCTCAAATCCTGAATGATTTTAAATGATATTCATCCCTGCTAGAAATCCAGCCAATATAGCATCAGATGGTTTAAGGTTTTATATGGTCACTATGCAGGTCCAAGCTAGTCTAGGTGGTGGATCATATGGACTTCCAACCATTGGACTTAGTTTTGATCTGCATATTGGTCAACCTGTTTATAGCCTTTGGTTTTGAACAAAGAGTTGGTTTTGTTTGTTAATCTCTGCTTGTCTGTTGTCTGTGTTTGTAGGATGGCTTCACTCCTCTGGCCATTGCTCTGCAGCAGAGTCATAATCAGGTGGTCTCTCTGCTGCTGGAACATGACACAAAAGGTAAAGCCCGCCTGCCTGCGCTCCACATCGCTGCCCGCAAGGATGACACCAAGTCTGCTGCTTTGCTGCTTCAGAACGACCATAATGCTGACGTCCAGTCTAAGGTGAGAAAATAAATAGTGAAAATTTAATGTTCATGCTTTTTCAGAGATGGAACTATAATAATTCTGTGTTTTTTTTGACAGCTATATATAGATAATGCCATTGTTTTAAGGTTTTTTGGACATGGTGTCATGAGAGCATTGTGGTTGTTTGAACATTTGAGTATACTATTGATGTTTTTTCATATAGTACCTGTACAGTATCATTGTACCATGGTGTTCTTTGAACACTGCTAAACATATTGTTATACTATGACTGTACCATGGTACCACAGTTCGTTTTGAAGGATTGTTTATGAGTATTTTGAAGGATTTTATTAATTCAATAATCTTAAAGGAATAGTTCACTCAAAAATGAAAATTTGCTGAAAATTTCACCTTCAGGTCGTCCAAGATGCAGATTAGCTGAACTGAGGAGCTGATTTGGAGAAATGTACCATCATATCACATGGATCCTCTGCAGTGAATGGGTGCCGTCCAAACAGCTGATAAAAAAAATCACAATAATTCACAAGTAATCCACTGTATGTTTGTAATAAATTCATCATGCAGATGTTTTAAACTTCAAACTGTTGCTTCCAGATAAAATATGAGTCCTCGTTCCATAATATTACTTTCTCCAGTGAAAAAGTCATCTTGTCTGAATCAGGAGAGAAATATGCACCGATCAAACAGCGTTTACAACAGTGAAAACAGTCCAAAACAGTTCTAAACAAATATGCCGATTGATTTTGATGTGAGAGAACAACAGTGGATTGACTTTTTCACTGGAGGAAGTATTATTATGGATTATAGACTGGTATTTCAGTCAGAAGTGCCGGTTTAAAGTTTCTAGTTTGGACTCTCATTCTGACGGCACCCATTCACTGAAGAAGATGCATGGTGAGCAAGTGATGTAAAGCAAAATTTCTCAAAATCTTTTCTGATGAACAAATAAACTCATGGATGGCCTGAGGTCGAGTTAATTTCCCACAAATTTTCTGAAATGAAAATTGTGGGTGAGCTATTCCTTTAAATAGATATTTTCAACGAGGTTCACGCTAGCTATCTACTTGTTTCGGCTTTATTTAATCTTCACCGAATTATATTTTTGCTTTTGAAATTCCTCCTTTTAAGATAAAAATGTTAAAATTGGTTCAAAATGTCATATTAATGCTACATGCTATATTTTCCTCCTCATGTGCGACTCCTTCAGATGATGGTCAACAGGACTACAGAGGTATTAAGATTCTCAGCAGAATCCTGCACCTGCATTCGTCTCGGCTCTTATAAAGCCTAATGTGCTACTTAACACTGAATCTTTCTTTTACAGTGCATGGGAAGAGTAGAGTCTTGTCCTTTTAGATGTCATAGTGCATGACACATAGTTGTTTTTATTTTAGTAGCAGCACCCTATTTCCTCGAGAGGTTTTTGTGTGTTTCTAGCTCATCAACACATTTTATGCTTCTTTATTTCAATTAACGTTTTGAGCAGAAAATAGGGGTGCATTATGTTGTTTATACACCACTTATGATTTTACTAACAGACCAAACCGACGTTTAACTCCTAATTGTGCATGTGAACTCACTGTGTAGAAGTCTCTCGGTCACATTTTGCTGCACCTTTTTGTTAATTCTGTTTTTTAAATTGCACCATGTCTGTCAGAATGGAAAGGTAAGAAAAAAATGGCTCCATCAAACGAATGAGTAAGACAGACAATGCCAATTTCCTATCTATACTTTCATCTTTAGCAAAATGTAGTGAGTAGTTGCTGAATAACATTTGTTTGTTCAGATATTTTGTTCATCATCTTTTTTTCCCTTTCATTGTCACTGAGAAACTTCTCATCTGTCTCATGAAGACTCATATGATACTGGGAATGTGCTCATATATTATTAGATGTACAAATCTAATCTTTCTGTTTCTTATTTCATCGGTTTTTTTTCTTTACCTTCACTCCAGTGCATGGTGTGGTTGGATCCATTGGTAGCAGATGAGAATCCACACATTTCTTTTTCTTTTTACTTTTCCATTTTTTTCTATCTTTTAAGTTGTTGCACAAATGTGATGATTCATGGGAATGCTGCATGGTAGATCATGAATGATGGACGTTTAAAATCAGCTAGAAGACCAGCGCAGACATTTACCATTCTGTTTTCTTCTCTTCTTTATTCTATCCCTTCTTTTATCCCAATACTACTCCATCCTCTAACAGAGTGGCTTCACTCCTCTGCATATTGCTGCTCACTACGGTAACGTTAATGTGGCCACGCTGCTGCTCAACAGAGGGGCTGCTGTAGACTTCACAGCCAGGGTATGATCTTATATGGCTAAAATCCTAAAAAAAAAAGCAACTTATAAATTGACAAAATTAAATACTTTAAGTGATGGTACACTGAAAAAAATTTAGGGTAACGATTCACATCTATATTTTTTAACTTGAGCCAATGAAAAATAAATAACTTGCCCTATTCCCCCCCCAATCCATTTACTTACGCCACTGCCATTCCCTATGGTTTTGTGAAATGCCGCCACTGCTGCACCCCCTGGAGGTTTCCTGATGCCCCCTAGTGGGCTCCGACCCCCTGGTTGAAAACCACTGCTCAAAATCAATGCTTTCTGTAACAGACTAATATTTAAGCTGCTATTCACTCAAATCACACATTTATAATTTTTAGGGTAGACTACAGGGATATTTTTTATGTGCATGCTTTCTTTTAAGTTCTACACAATTAAAACTCTGTTGGAGTTAATTGAATAATCATGTGGTATGATGTATAAACTGTATCAGATTTCATATATATTAAAGGAATAGTTCAACTCAAAAATGAAAATTCTGTCATCATTTACTCGCCCTCATATCGTTCCAAACCTGTATAGATTTTTTTTTAATGTTAAACACAAAAGAAGAGATTTTGGCCAAAAACAGTTGTTGACCCCCATTGACTTCCATAGTATTTTATTTTTTTTAATTTATTTTTTATTTTTTACCCACTATGGAAGTCAATGGGGGCCAACAACTGTTTGTTTGGGGCCCAACAACAGCATTCCTCAAAATCTCTTCTTTTGTGTTCAACATATATAGAAACTTATACAGGTTTGAAAATTGATTGTGGGTGAGTAAATGACAGAATTTTCATTTTTGAGGTGAACTATTCCTTTTAGCAAATACTTGCAGTTCCTCTTTACTTTCCCTTGATTTTAGAAGACAGTGTGTTGCTTTAATCGTTTAAGTTACTATTTTTTTCCAAGTATGAAAATATAATCTGTACTAAAGGATGTACTGTTTTGTTTAGAATGGTATAACCCCTCTTCATGTGGCCTCCAAACGAGGAAATACAAACATGATTGCCCTGCTGTTAGACAGGGGGGCTCAGATTGACGCTAAAACCAGGGTGAGTATCAACAGTACCATCAAAATGCAGTAAAACAAGCACCCTCTAGTGCCTAGTGCTAACAGTTCAGAGGAACATTTCTTGTACTGTATGTACTCAATAATGATAATGCTAGCTTTTTGTGAGCTGTGCATTATGAATTCTGCTTTTATTTTGAAAAACTTAGGTAGCAGCTATAGTGTTTTGCTACATGTTGTCATGTGCATTTGCACAGCAGTAGTTTTCGTAATGCATCATGTATGTACTTATGTGTTTTTTTTTCCATATATACTGATTGTCTGTATTTATCTTCTCTCTGTTGAAAAGGATGGGCTGACACCGCTGCACTGTGCAGCCAGAAGTGGACATGACACTGCAGTGGAAATCCTGCTTGAAAGAGGAGCTCCCATACTGGCACGGACCAAGGTACATGAAACTAAGTGGTTCCATGTTTGTTTATATTTTTTTAATTAGTCTCCTATACTCACCAAGGCTGCATTTATTTGAACATTTTAAATATAAAAATGCATTAAACAGTATTATTATTATTAAATATAATATTATTACTTTTTGATCTAAAGCTGATCTGTATTTTTCCTCTCTCTTCCTCTGTATTTTAACACACACACACACACACAGAATGGCCTTTCCCCGCTGCACATGTCTGCTCAGGGTGATCACGTCGAGTGTGTGAAACACCTGCTGCAACACAAGGCACCGGTTGATGATGTCACACTGGACTACCTGACCGCCCTTCATGTTGCCGCCCACTGTGGTCACTACAGAGTCACAAAATTACTACTGGATAAGAAAGCGAATCCTAATGCCAGAGCACTGGTAATTCTTTGTCTTTGAAAGAAAGTGTGTCCCAGCATGTTAATTAGCGTTACTGATGTATTTTTTGTGTCTGTCAGAATGGCTTCACTCCTCTGCATATTGCCTGCAAAAAGAACAGAGTGAAAGTCATGGAACTGCTGGTTAAATATGGAGCCTCAATTCAAGCTGTCACTGAGGTAAGGGTCTTAGTAGTCTGTGACTTGTAATCTTGCGTACTATTTCTGATAACAATATCTGATTTGGCATGTGACTTTTTAGGGTTTATTTCAAGCCTAATAATTAAACTTCATAGAGTTGAATTATTCCTTTAGCTCATACAGGAAGGTTTAGAGTTCATATAAACAGAACTTTCAGAACCTGAAATCGGATTGGATTCATTCAGATTGACGAAAATTGGTGCATGTAAACGTAACTACTTTCTGTTCTCTTTTTTCCTAGTCCGGCCTGACCCCAATCCATGTTGCAGCATTTATGGGGCACCTCAATATTGTTCTCCTGCTGCTACAGAATGGAGCCTCACCTGACGTCTGTAATATTGTGAGTACACAGTCATCAAGATTGGACATGACTTGTGCCATATTTAAATATTTCTAATAAGGGTGCGTGATATTGAAAAAAAAAAAGTGTTTTTGTGCTGGTACCTTGGTTGGTTTAGGCCTTTAGTGGAGCTGAATCCAAAATCTTTAAATATTCTTCATATTCTTTGCATTGGTTAGATCACAGTAGTATAAGGTGTGTTATTTGACACCCTAAATTGATTTGAGAGCAAATCTTATATGTCAAATTCTTAGGTTTAATCAATAAATTAAATTATAATAGTAAGACAATGTAGAGCTGTTACCAATCAAATTAAATCTATATCAACAGAATCAATTTTTTTGCACTGCATAGATGACATGAGCTACATTTAATATGGTATTTAGATGTATTTAAATCAGAGGTGATATGGATTACAATAGCATAAATAATACTACGAGATTTAAAAATGAAATCGTGAATATAAAAAAATGGTTTTTCAAAATATTTTAAATATGAGAAAAAACATGCATTCATTCAGTAAAGAAACACTGCTTTGTGTTGCTCAGAGACACAGATCGGTTCTTCTCTGGCTTTGTTATGTAACTATTTTCACTGGCATTCTAATTTATATAACTTATATATGTTGCTATGTTATGTTGCTAAAGTCTTCGTCTTTTTGTATTGTGTTAGTTTAGTTGCAGATAACGATATTCATTCATGCGTGTAATTACCTTTCCAGACAAACAGTCAACTTGCTCTTGAGTGTCCACACATTCCAATATGGCGGACAGATTACGTGTAGCAGCCCATAGAAACAGCAGCTATTAGAGCATCTGCCTGTACATATCTATGAAAACAACTATTACTATATTATTCTAGGCTATATAATCATTGCACACCCCTACTTTCAGAGCCTACTTTTTTAGCTCATGCTTTGCCACACTGTTTTGCTCATGCAGGGAGTTTTTGATATCATTTGCTGTCTTTTCTACTCTCCTCTAAATAAACAAATTCAAAAAGGTCTAGCAATGCATTTCATGTACTGATTGTGTGTGTCCTCAGCGTGGCGAGACGGCATTGCACATGGCTGCAAGGGCAGGACAGATGGAGGTGGTGCGATGTTTGCTAAGGAACGGCGCTTTGGTGGATGCCATGGCCAGAGTCAGTTGATAAAAACACTTACTGAATAAAGTGAAAATACAGATTAATGACTACACATGAAGCTTTAAATATACTATATCTTTCTCTCTTGCCTCCAGGAGGACCAGACACCCCTTCACATTGCGTCACGTCTGGGTCAGACAGAGATTGTGCAGCTGTTACTGCAGCACATGGCTCATCCTGATGCTTCCACCACTAATGGATACACACCTCTGCACATCTCCGCTCGTGAAGGTCAGGTGGAGACAGCTGCAGTGCTGCTGGAGGCTGGAGCATCTCACTCACTCACCACCAAGGTGGGACTGCAGGGAGATCTGTGAAAGAGATATGGGGTCCTCATTCAAATATGTTATCAAATATTATGCAATAAATCTATTAATTTATACAGAGCCCCACACATGATATGCAGACAAAAACAGGGAATGAATTAGTACAACATGCCCACAATTTACTAAAATGAGGGATACTATATATATATATATATATTTATACATACATATACATGCATTTATTTGATCAAAAATATATTAAATACTGTAAAATTTTTAAATATTATTACAATTTAAAATAACTGTCTATTTCAGTATTTTTTAAATGTGAATTTTTACTTTGATGACAAAGCTGAATTTTCAGCATCATTACTCCAGTCTTCAGTATGCTGATTTGGTGCTCAATAAATATTTCTTATTATTATCAATGTTGAAAACAGTTGTGCTGTTTTTTTTATTTTTGTTAAAGCTGTGATTTTTTTTTCTAGAAAATGATGAATAGCTCAAAACAACAGCATTTATTTGAAATAAAACTCTTTTGAAAAATGTTATGTGTACTTTCTGAATAAAAGTATTCATTCAAAATAATAATAATAATAATAATAATAATAATAATAATAATATAATAATAATGTATTTAATTAGTAATGCGCTTTTCTTAAACCCAAAGCGCTACAGTAAAACAACAACACACACAAAAAAACAATACAAAAATACTAGAATTAATTAAAAACAAGCTTAAATGCGTCTTAATCACCTTTTTAAAATGATCCAGAGTTGGTGCATTTCTGATATTAAAAGGAAGTGCATTCCATAATTTGGGGGCTTTGAATGAAAAAGCTCTTTCTCCATAGTCTTAAAAGACAAAAGTATTCATCAAAATAAATAAATACTGACCCCAATTTTTTTTAAAGTAGAGTATGTATTCATCTATAATCAACTAAAGACAAATATCCTTCCTTTAACAGAAAGGCTTCACTCCTCTACATGTTGCTGCTAAATATGGTAGTCTGGATGTGGCAAAGCTCCTCCTTCAGCGGAGAGCACTTCTTGATGACGCTGGAAAGGTGAAAATCAACCTTTAATCATTGAAATCATTGAAATTTCATTGAAATTTATTTAGTAAATATATGCTCACTATTATCATTTTTCTTTCTGTCTTTGGCTTTCTGAACCAGTACGGTCTCACACCACTGCATGTAGCTGCTCACTATGATAACCAGCAGGTGGCGATGATGCTCTTGGATAAAGGAGCCTCACCTCATGCTACTGCTAAGGTGCAAATCTTAAACTGATAGCAAGATATCTCTGCATCCAGTAATTAAAAAATGTATAACCTGAGGGTTTCTGTTACTCTCTTCCTGTGCAGAATGGCTATACACCTCTCCACATTGCAGCTAAGAAGAACCAGACACAGATCGCCTCTGCGCTGCTTCAGTATGGAGCAGAGACCAATGCATTGACCAAACAGGGAGTGAGTCCTTTACACCTGGCATCCCAGGAGGGGCACACAGAGATGGCCTCCCTGCTGCTGGAGAGGGGTGCACATGTCAATGCTGCCACTAAGGTAAGATCTAGATCAGGGAAGACTACAGTATGTATTCTAAGCATCAGGCTATTAGCTATTGCTCATGAATAAACATAACATATTTTTGTCATCTAAACTGACTATTACAAATGTCAGCCAAACCACTTAGATGTAAAATATTTACTTGATGTACCTCATAAGAATGTGAGTTAATATTGAGAATTTAATGACACTCTAATGTCAGTTAATGGTGACATGGCATACAAGTAAACAGATAAAATATTTAATCTTTTTTTAGTTTTATTTGTAGCTAGACTTAAAGTGGAATCAAACTCTTTTGGACTTTTGGATATCAAGAAAATGTAATATTTCTGCTACCGAAGAATGTTAGAAATTACAGTTAACGTAGTGCGCATTGAGTTAGCAAATGCACATTAAATGCAACACATGCAGAGATGGAGTTTGCTGCATTTACTGTGAACTGAGAAACTGTTCAAGCGAACAGTGCTATATCACAATTATTGTGCAGCCCCGTTTATTTACCTTAATTTTGCATTTGATATAATTAATTATTCGCTTTTCATCAACTCGTGAACCCCCTGTAGTTCCCTCCCCCAGGAGTTCACGATTCCCAGTTTGGGAAACTCTGCCCAAGACCAACACAGATTTATGCACCTTCCTATTTAGAATAATTGCAAACAAAAAAAGACTTATCTCTAGCTCACTTGGAAATAAATTACTATTCAGATCATTAACTGACTACCAGAACCCATACTGTTGAATCCTGACTTTGCTAATATGATTACAAAAAAATATTAGACTATAGAATTCAGCAAGTGACCAATCAGAAAGAAGTATTCCAGAGAGCCATGTAATAATGGTTTATGATTTCAATTTTTTTCAGTGTGGTCTTACACCTCTACACCTCGCTGCTCAGGAGGACAGAGTGCAGGTGGCTGAAATACTGATCAAGCACGATGCAAACGTAGACCAGCAGACCAAAGTAAGCTTGAACCGTATTTTTTGTATTACCATGGTCTGAATTTGTTTTTTTAATAATGTTTCAGTATGTTACACTTCAGCTAATGTGATATTTGGTTGTTTCTTCTAGTTGGGCTACACTCCTCTTATTGTTGCCTGTCACTATGGAAATGTCAAAATGGTTAATTTCCTTTTGCAAAATGGCGCTAATGTCAATGCAAAAACTAAGGTAAGAGTTTAACATATTTATTAAAGTATATTCTTTCATTATGTGACTTGGTAACCCAATTAATTATTACTTAAAAAACTATTAATTTAATCATTTTGTAAGTATGAGCTGTGTGACAATGCATTTTGAGTTTGTGACTGAGAAATATCGCTGATGTCTATGACATTGTAATTTTGTGCAATTATTATGATTTGTAATATTCTATCAGAATTGCATTATTTTAAATGCTTCTGGTTTTTTTTTGCATTGCATTCAGATTGTTATTATGTTATTTCTGAGCTGTTTACTGTACTGATGGAGTTTTTTATTTCAGAATGGCTACACACCACTTCACCAAGCTGCTCAGCAGGGAAATACACACATTATCAATGTCCTGCTGCAGCATGGAGCCAAGCCTAATGCAGTCACTATGGTGAGCAACACACTCATACTCACAGAAATTATATTAATTCTGTATCTTATTTCTCTAACCTCACACTATTTCTCTCTCAGAATGGGAACACAGCACTCTCTATTGCTAAGCGTCTGGGGTACATCTCAGTGGTGGACACTCTGAAAGTTGTTACTGAGGAAATAATCACAACGACAACCGTATGTATCCATGCCTTTAAATATTAAGAATATCTGATGCATTCATAAACCATACAAGAATGTTGAATCCCTTTTTCATTTCAACTTTTGTAGACGGTGACAGAGAAACACAAGCTGAACGTTCCAGAGACAATGACAGAAGTTCTGGATGTGTCTGATGAGGAGGGTAAGATACTGATTTATAACTGACAGTGAAAAATTTAAGGGGGTCTGAATACTTTCCGTACCCACTGTACATGATCAGGATTTCATATATCTGTTTAAAAGCTGCTGTGCCTCTGTAGCCCAACATCAGATGGAGGAGGAGCTTTTTACTGAAGTCTCTATGGAGATCGAAGGTATACAGGGTATAGATATAGAGCGAACTGAACTGACCTATTGTATTACTAACGTTACACTTACTGCATTACCAAAAATCAGTTCAGTTCCTTCTGTATCTATTCCAACGTGTGGTTTGCAATTTGTGTGCTAACTGGAACTGGGATGAATATTGTGTGTAGAAAACTAAACTATGAAAAACTAACTTTGTTCTCAGTTATTTGTGCTAATCTGGGGATAATTTTTCAAATCATAAAAATGAGAATACTTGATATCTTGAGAGTGACTTGAGAGTCACTGAGTATTTTAGTTTTAGTAGTACCTACATAATGGGTGAACAGTGCTTGTTATGGTTAATATGTTGTTGGTTAATATAATTTATTTTTATTGTATTGTTTTTTATGGGTTTATTTTGAAATCTTTACTGTCACGTTGTCTAAAACCCAAATGTTAAGAATTAATGTTATTTGGTCTGAATTTTAAAAAGTATTTACATTTATATTGGGTCAGAAAATGAGAGGTTATATAATACATTGTCCAAAGAAAAAGAATTGAATGGCAAGTCGTGATTTGGGTTGTTTATTAAACTACAGCCAGGGCCGGATTTACGCATAGGCATTCTAGGCACGTGCCTATGCTCGCTCGTCCAGGGGGGCCCAAACACAATGAGAAGATATATAATATTTTTTGTTATACTATGGTCTATCTACAACAGTGAGAGAACCAAAACACCAGAGGACATTGAGCAAATAAATATAACAAACAATAGGGTAAAAAATGACAAACTATTTCCATGTTTTCCACCTTTTTATGAAAATCACATACATAAATTCTTTCTCCCGTTCTCTCTCACAGACGCACACACGGTACAGACATGCACTCGCGCACACACGTGGAGACGCGAACAGATTGTCATCAGCGCGGCCCTGCGAATTTATCAGTAAAATAGTTTCGCAGCTCCTGTTATTAACTCTAAAATGACGTTTTGGAATTTGCAACGGAAGGTTTATCTTGAAATCAATCATCTGAACAATATCTTGAGGTGTGGTTGTGACACCAGGCCGTTAAAATTATTAGAGAAATAATGCACTCCCGAAGTGGTAATGTGGCCATGACGCTGGAGCCTATTAATGGAACGGCCTTTCTCCATTCTCAAACAAATTAAGACATTTGATTTTATTGTCTGAATGCAAGCGCTTATGGCGATAGAAAACACTGTAACGGTTTCCACTGATTACGAAATATTTTTGTTTGCTGGGGCCTATTAATAAGGAAGGGGGACCCAAAAAATTTTTTTGCCTATGTCACGATAAGAGATTTACTGAAAAGGACAAATTAGTTTGAGACCACAATCCCATAAAAGCACCAATGGGAGTGGAAAGTACACAGGCGCAAAATGGGTTGAGACATGCTTTTTTGGGTGTTAAATAATGGTGCAAATACCAGAAATCTGACTATCATAAAACCAACTTGATCTCACAGCAATTCTTATATTTTTTACGAGGTGTGAATTTGTACAAATGACCACCCATAACCCTGTCCCTAAACCTACCCCTCACAGAAAACAAAATCGTACAAATGAGGTCGTACGAGTGAGGTTGTAAGAATTCGTACTAATTAGCCACCTTGTAATATACTTGTGAATTGGTCGTGAGATAGCGTTGGTAAAACTTAGTAAATCGTGTTGCCTGATTCACTAAAGTACTCTCTTCCCATACATTTTGCATCTGAAAGAGTAACTCCTACAAATGCACATGCAAAAATATATTTTCATCACTAATTTTTTGCTGTGTCTCTTTAGTAAATCCTGACAGCAGTTTTTAAACACCAAAAGAGTGTTTGAGCTGGTGCAACCTGTTAGTGAATCTGGCCCTAAGTCAGTAATTTGATCAACGAGTAGTTCATTGACGGTGTCAATCAATTAGTCAATGTGTGTATGAGCAGGTGAGGACACAATGACAGGTGATGGAGGGGAATACCTGAGAGCAGAGGACCTGAGAGAGCTTGGTGACGACTCTCTACCTGGGCACTACCTGGACAACATGAGCTACACCCATAACTTAGACCGGTAAAAAAATAAACCAATGCACATATACAAACAGACAAACCAATATTTTAATTTCCATAGACAAGTTCATTCCTGCTAAACAGATTATTACTGTTAGCCCTGCCTCCAAGCTCAAATCATTGTTTGAGCTAGAAGCTTTTTGTTGCCATTTTTTGGGAATTTAACTCTCACAAGTATAAGTGCCCACACATAATGCTGTTTTACTCACCTGTTTACATTGTCCTACCTCAGGTCCCATGAGACCCCCAGTCATCTTGCTTACAGGAGTGAAGGAATGCTGATTGAGGATATGATCACCAGCCACCAGCTTAATAAGGTGAACCATGAACCATCATACCTCATTTGTATACCTAACATTTGGCTCAGTGTTGTTAGCCATGGTTTATAATGCTAATTGATCAAATCTAATTGTTAGCATTGTTAAAATCTTCTTAGCTGTTCTAAATTAACTGTAAACCATGGATTCACAGGGCTTATTGCGTTTATACAACAGTTATACCATAAAAATATTTTTAGCCCACCCATTAAGTCAAAATTCACAACAAAATCGGACATTTTGGAACAATTTTGAACACGAGTCACGATGATATATTATAGTCTGATTATGTTGTTTGTTAGGTTTCTGCATTCTCTCGAGAACATGAGTCATATCGACTGAGCTGGGGTGCTGAACATCTGGATAATGTGGTGCTAACTAGCACTCTTCTGCAGTCAGGGTTAGTAGGTTTCACACACACTAAAACGGACATGAACACGCACACACATTTGCCTCCCCCCGTTGTACATGCTAGTACATACTAAGATATGTATGTTTAGTCAAAGCTGGCATTGCATCAGATGCCACTATTGTGGATCATGAATGATAGCTGCTCAATTTCCTCTCATTGTTCTTTCTTTCTTTCTCGTTTATTACACTCACGTCATCTGCCTAAATCACTCTGCCTCTCTCTCTGCTGTTCGTGATTGTGTCTTTTGTTCTGCTTTTAGCCGATCCACCCCATGCCTTGACAATGACAACAGCAGGTGATCCTCCACTTCTCTTCCATGTGCCCTTTTTGCTTCCTCACTTCATCTACTTTTATTTCATTATTGCATGTATACATAACAACTGTCTGCTTTGAGCTTTTTAAATGAGCCTTTTTGTGCCTATTAAAATTTTAATCAGCATGTTTTGATGAACACAGTGAGTCATGTCTCCGTATTCATAGATATCCCCATGAAAAATATTAAGTATTCTTCAGTATCTTTCACATGGGTGTTATGAAACTGGAGACACTGTGTTTCTCAACTACTACGGTATCCTCCCCAGTACATATTGAGCATGTTCAACGGTTATCATTCTTTATTATCTAAATTCTCCAGTGACTTGTCTGTAGATTCTTTTGGAGACTTTCTCCATAAACTTCATGAACAATACATAACATAAAGCAACACTTAAAATAGCATTATGCCAATCAAAAGTTTGAGGTCAGTAAGATTTTTTTTAAAGAAAGAAATTAATACTTTTCATTTGCAAGAATGCATTAAATTGATCAAAAGTCATTGTTACATTGCAAAATTACTATTCATTCAATCCTATAAAAAATTTATAATGGTTTCCACAAAAATACTGAGCACCACAACTCTCTTCAACATTGATGATAATAAGAAATGTTTCTTCAGCACCAAATCAGCATAGTAGATGATTTTTGAAGGATCATGTGACACTGAAGCCTGCAGTGATGGCTGCTGAAAATGCAGCTTTATCATCACATAAATAAAATACATTTTAAATATATTAAAATAGAAATGGTTATTTAAATTGTAATAATATTTTACAATATTACCATTTTTACTGTATTTTTAAAAAATATTTAAAACAAAATCTTACCGACCACAAACTTTGGAACGGTAGTGTTCATCAGTGTACAACACACAATGGCAACACAATCTGATAATAAAAACAATGTTCAGGGTTTAACAGAAATTAATCCTTTTGATCACCGAAGAAAACTATTGGAACCCAAAATGTTTCTGGAATGTGTGTAATTTCAAATGGCACCAAAGAGAATTGCAAAATTAATAACTGCTTACAAACATAGAGAAGCCCACAGAGCCTATAATGTAAGTTTAGAAAAATAGACAGAAAAATAATATTGCATGGCCTAGGTGGCTTCTGTAAGTTTATAAACGAGAATGTAATGCATTTATGGCAGTATTTCGTTTCTGTGTAGTTTTAATGAAGATGTTAAACATTGTGTTGTGTGTTTCACTGTCACTTGCTGTTCTATAAAAACAGCTTCCTGGTCAGTTTCATGGTGGATGCCCGTGGTGGAGCCATGCGTGGCTGTCGTCACAATGGACTACGCATTTTTGTGCCACCTAGAAAGTGCTCAGCACCTACACGGGTCACATGTCGTCTGGTGAAGAGGCACAGGCTGGCCTCTATGCCCCCTATGGTGGAGGGAGAGGGGCTCGCAGGCAAGCTCATTGAAGTTGGACCCACCGGAGCCCAGTTTCTTGGGTAAGGGGGTGTCTAAGGGGATCTAAAATTGAAAATGTATGCTGTATCACCATGAACATTTTTGTCTATCTTTGTTTGTGTATGATGCAATTATATGTTCTCTATTTTGTCTCGTCTTGACTGACAAAGTAGCGCAATATGTCAACATGTTTGACGTGTCCTAACCAGGAGCGATGTTACAAGTTTCCAGCGACAATCAATTTGTTTGTCTATGCTGAAACAGCTGTCCATGTAATCTCATGTAATGTAATCTCAGCCAGTAAAATGATGTTTGATGTTTATTTTGTGAATTTTGGACCAGTGAGATTCAGTGGATAGATTTTAGTTTTAAGTTTTAGTATTTTTCCATTTATTAATTAAAGAAACAATTTTAGGTAGATTTAACCAAGCGATGGACAAAATGTCGCAGCTGGTTAGGACAAAAACTCATGGATGAGCTTTTAGTGTTTGTCTCACCTGGTTAGGACACTTGTCATCTCTAGTTTGGAGGAATGACAACGATGTTCCTCTCTCACTAAATCTGAGTTCAGTAAATCAGGTTCACAGTGTGCCTTGTTTTTTACATCTTTTTTAATGGCTGCGATCGGAACAGTAAACTCCACCTCCCAACAGCCCCTCCTCCTCTTAATGAGGGTGAAAGTCTTGTCAGCAGAATTCTGCAGCTGGGTCCACCCGGCACCAAATTCCTCGGGTAGGAGAGATCCTAATGCCAAATATCCACTGGATACCGGTCACATATCCCTCCTAATTCTTTTAAATACACCTCCATCTGTATTTTATAATTTTTTGAGTTTGTTTTTATCATTCCGAAATAGAGGTGTTCCATTAATTTACCTTTACCTCCTTTGTTGACTTTTAAATATCGTTTGAGTTTAAATGTGTTATTTTCTTGTATTGGTCATTGCTCTGTGTATGCTGTATATGGCATTACCCATGGTTTTGTTCCTACATTGCTGCATGCTACATTTACCTGTGTTTATGTCTTCCACAGATGCGATATCTGTTTCTCAACAACCCTCACTTTGACAAGTCCAAAGCCGTACATTTGGCTGAAATAACACCGTTATTTTTCAGGCCTGTGATAGTGGAGATCCCCCACTTTGCTGCATTGCGTGGGACAGAGAGGGAGTTGGTGATTCTGCGCAGTGAGACAGGAGAGAGCTGGAGAGAACATCACTGTGAGCATACAGAAGAGGAGCTGAATCAGATACTCAATGGCATGGACGAGGGTGAGTGAGACACTTGTTTGATGTAACACACCTTAAATTGGCAAGTGGTATGCTAATAGAACTGTAATCTGGTTTATAATGCTGTGAGCTGACCCCATATACTCTACCATTCAAAAGTTTGGGGTCAGTAATGTTTTTTTAATAGTTTTGAAAGAAGGCTCTTATGCTCACCAAGGGTAAAACAGCAATATTATGAAATGTCATTACAATTTAAAATAGCTGTTTCTATTTTAATATATTTTAAAATGTAATTTATTCCTGTGATGTCAAAGCTGAATTTTCAGCAGCCTTTAATCCTTCAGAAACTAATCATATATACTGATTTGGTGTTTGAGATCAATGTTTAAAGCAGTTGTACTGCTTACTGTTTTTGTGGAAACCATGATACGTTGTTTGATGAACAGAAATTTCAAAAGAACAACATTGAAATAGAAATTATTTGTAACATTATACATCTTTACAGTCATGTCTAATAAATTTAATGCATCCTTGCTAAATAAAAGTCTAAATTTGTTTAAAAAAAAAAAAAACATTTCACTGACCTCTAACTTTTGAATGGTGGTATAGATTTGGGATCCTGTGTGACAGTTCTTTTCAAACATTTTAGAACAGGTCTGTGCTTAGTGGAAAAGTTTGGTTTGGTAATGAAGGAGAGCATCTTTAAAATGAAATAAAATGAAGACTTTGGTCATTTGGAACAACTGGATTTGTCATTTTCACACTAGAACTGGACACTCCTGAGGAGCTGGAGAAAAGGCGAATCTGCCGCATCATCACACGGGATTTCCCACAATACTTTGCAGTGGTGTCCCGCATTAAGCAGGACAGTCATCTGATCGGTCCAGAGGGTGGGGTGTTAAGCAGCACACTTGTTCCACAGGTCCAGGCTGTGTTCCCAGAGGGAGCATTGACTAAACGGATACGCGTTGGGCTACAGGTAATCCACTATGCAAAGCATTATGCAAAGCATCTTCATCATTGACCTTTTAATTTTTAAAGGAGGCATTTCGGTTACTCTTTATTTTAAGGTGTCCTTGTTACAGTGTAATTACATTTAAGTACTGTACAATTAAGTAATATTAATTAACAACATGTACTTACTACAGGGTTAGGTGTAGGGTTTGTTTTAGGGTTATGCATGTAATTATGCATAATTTTGTGCTCATTCTATAGTAAGTACATGTAACGTGTAACAAAGACACCTTAAAATAAGGCGTTACCGGCATTTCTAATTTTCCTTTTGATTTGTGTTAGATAGTTTTCTCACAAATGATGTTGAGGGCAACACTGTACCATTTTTATGATTATTTGCCACTCTAGATCAATAGTACAAAAAACTTTTAGTAACTTCTTTGTGTCATTAAAGCTGACTCAATTGAGATTGAGCTATATATCAATGCAGCAGCAATTGTTCTTTTTTTATGTAATGGTAAAAAAAATTATTGGTAAACTGAAAAAAGTAATACTAATGCATTGTTATTTTGTCTTTAAGTCTTATTTTAGGGTTCATATTAAATGTGTGACTCTATGGAAAAAGTTCTTTCTTTGTTTTTGTTTTTTTAGCTATGCCCTTCTGTAAAATATTTAATTAGCAGTATATTACTCTTAAATTGGTTAGAGGGAGGGGATGAAATAAAAAAATAAAAAGTCCATCCTGCCACTTACATCTCAATCTCATCCTTTATTAGGCCCAGCCAATCAGTGAGGATCTGGTGAGGAAGATCTTGGGTAATAAGGCTACATTCAGCCCAATTGTTACTTTGGAGCCCAGAAGACGCAAGTTTCACAAGCCCATCACCATGACTATTACTGTCCCTAAAAGCCCAACCAGTGACGGGACAAGCAGTACCCCCACTCTACGACTATTATGTAGCATTACTGGTATGTGAGAATAAAGAGTAAAACATATCTTTTGTAAGTAAGTGCCTTTATAAGAAGGTGTAAATAGTTCTAATAATTTTCCTTTTCTAGGTGGGACGACTCCAGCACAATGGGAGGACATAACTGGATCCACACCGCTAACATTCATCAACCAGTGTGTTTCATTTACCACTAATGTGTCAGCAAGGTGAGTTCAGACGCAGTGACAAATGTTTGTTGACCGCTTTCCCTTGACAAATCGTTAAATACATGTTTTTCCTCCCAGGTTCTGGCTTATAGATTGCCGTCAGATCCAGGAGGCTGTGAACTTCTCCAGTCAGCTGTATCGCGAGATCATCTGTGTTCCCTATATGGCCAAGTTTGTCATCTTCGCCAAGACATTGGACCCTATAGAAGCACGACTCCGCTGCTTCTGTATGACGGATGATAAGATGGATAAAACTCTGGAGCAGCAGGAGAACTTCACTGAAGTGGCTCGTAGTCGAGATGTCGAGGTAAGTGTGGTTCAGCTAGTCTTGCTAGTGCATTTGAGATTAACTTTTCTACATGATGGTATGTTTATCTCTACAGGTTCTAGAGGGAAAGCCAATCTTTGCAGACTGCTTTGGAAATTTGGTCCCACTGACCAAAAGTGGACAGCACCATGTGTTCAGCTTCTATGCCTTTAAGGAAAACCGTCTTTCTCTCTTTATCAAAGTAAGTTATAATTTGTAGCACTGTTTATAGTAGATAACTATGTAGATATTATATTGTAGTTTGCACAAAAAAGGCACTGAGTTACAGATTTAAACGTGTTACAGTACGCCACAAAATTTCCTACTAGTTTAACTATGATGCCACAGTATTGTGTAATTGTCAGTTGGTGGTGAGCAAAGTTACAGATTGGTTGTTTTTAACAGATTCGTGACAGCACTCAAGAACCATGTGGCAGATTGTCTTTTACAAAAGAACCAAGAACATATCGCAGTCTAAACCACAATGCAATATGCAACCTGAACATCTGCCTACCTGTTTACTCAAAGGTAAGAGAAACACTTTCATGATATTACCTCACGGCCAAGGGCGTGTCTACGTGGTAGACGTAGACTCCAAGGTGCCCCCCCTACCAGATGTCTTGCGATAGGCTTGTTTTTAGTAAATTTCTAACTGCATCTGGCAGTGGCGGATCCTGGCATGTGTAGGCAGCTGCCTAGGGCCGCTTTCTTCTCTTCTTTATACTTAATTTTAGGCGGTTTCTATAGTGTGATCTTAATGACAATGTCGAGAGCACATACAGTAATGTTACGCGATCTATGTGTGCGAGGACGAATCTCTCCACTCCCAAGCGGATTTCCTTCACACAACCTCCCCCCCCACCCTCTTTTGAGCCAGTGCCCCCGACTGGCCCCCCCATTTAAAATGCTCTAGACACGCCCCTGCTCACGGCCACATATACTGTACATAATATGCATACATAGACACAACAAAAAGCCAATACCTTTTAATCAAAATATATTTAGTTTAGAAAAATTTTATCTGACAGTTGATTTTTTTTACTCTTACTTTTTAAGGAATCTGATTCTGACCAAGATGCAGATGATGAGGTAAATACCTATATTACACCTTAAAAATAAATAAATGATTTTGTAAATGTTGTCTTTGCAAAAGAGATCATGGATTTTTTGTAATTTCCATTCGATTAACTGTCTGTTTCAATTTAATTTCTTTATAGAGTGAGAAGACACATGAGCAATGTAAGCAATTTTTAAGTTTAAAAATATATATACAGTATAGACAGCTTTTGCTCCCTTTCTTTTTAACCCCCATAACTCCTGTAATTGTAGTTTACCAATGTATTAGTACATTGTTAGCATATTTAGCATATTTATAAGTGATTTTAAGAGGAATTGTATTTGTGGATCCCTGATTGCTATGCTATGGCTGATAAACATCCCTTCTTCCATTTTTATTTTTATTTTTATGGTCTGCTGTTCTCATGAAACATTACATCCAATTCTATTCTCTCACAATGGTATCTTGCTTCTGGCATGATGGTTTCTAAAATGTTTAGTGTGTTACATGCCAAAAGAGATACTGGAAAACAAACCATTCTCCCTAAAATCAAAATCATACTGACCAGGCACCTATTATTTTGCCTGTAATGAAATCACTTAATTTGCTTGCCACAAATGTCACCTTTGCATGGATCATTTCCTTTGCATGGAAATAACTTGACTTACACATTATATTATTGCATATGTATGTGTGTGAGTGTGTCTGCTTGAATGTGAGGATATCTTTTTTGAAATATGAATAATTTGTGACTTGTTTTATCCTTATCTCTCACATTCTTTGTTTCCTTTGTTCACTTGTATTTATTGGTTTCCTACATTTTTCTTATCATTTACCTCAGACTTATAACAAATTCCCATATGTTAAACAACTCCATGTTTGACTCAAAGATCTGCATAACTAAAAAGCCATAGCATTTAATAATTTGAAAGTGTTTTATGTGAAAAGCCTCTGATTGTATCTCAGTGTTGCATAAGGGCATTGTTTTGAAATGCTATCTATGTTTGTGTTGACATGAGTTCTTCATGTCGAGAACAATCTTGAGATGCCTCATTGGTACAGATCCACTCTGTGTTATGATTACTTTCCTCATTTGTTCTTTGTGCACAGGTTTCTGTATTACTTATCCTTTGTTTTTTTCTTTATACTTTCCCTCTTGTGTAAGTGTATGAGTGGATACTTGAATCAATATAACATGTTTAAGCAAGTTATTTCCTGCCCATTTCCTGCCCTCACTTTGTAATTCTCTTTTGCTTTGCTTAACTGCTCCCATGCCTTCCCAAATCCTTCGGATCCAAATCTAGATAAATCTAGCAATGTTCTTCATTCTGTCAAGTAGTTTCCTCGTCATCTGAACTGAAGACAGTTTGTATTGCTCCTGCCCTGACTAGTTTTCCAATGTCTTTTGTCCTCTTCATTTCCCCCTTTGTTCTTTACAAACTATTTGTGCTGTTCAAATGGAAGATTATGATGGATCTGAGTCAACAGAGCTTTCCATGCTGCAAATCATACATGATCCTGCCACACTCGCAAGTCCAGATCTACTTTCAGAGGTTTCTGAAATGAAGCAGGACCTGATTAAAGTGTCAGTCCTTCTGACCTCTGAAAAGTCAAAAAAATCGTGCTCCTCTGATGCCGGAGAGCGATCAGACAAGGCTGGGGACGAGGAAGTGGATGAGCCATTTGAAATTGTTGAAAAAGTGAAAGAGGACTTAGAGAAGGTAGAAGAGATTCTTCGTGACAGAACAATGGATGATACAAAAGGGGGAGTTGCTATTGGGAGATCTGTAACCATTGATGATGAGGAGTGGGTCCTTCTCAGTGTGACAGATGTTGCGGAATCCAAAAGCAAAAATATCACTAAAGTCCAAGAGGCACTCGTTCAGGAAGTTCGAATCACAAGAGACATTATATCCAATTCTCCTGCTCAGAGGGATATTTCAGGTATGATTTCATATCTCAGCAGTGACTTAGAACAGTGTCTGCAGGAAACGCCTGTACCATTTAATGATTCGCAAGATGAGGATAGTGTTCAAGAAAGTTTTAAAGAGGTTGTTGTGACACGTGGTAAACACCGTCCAGCAGGAATCAAAAAGCCAGCAAGGAAAAAGCGTAAAGAGAGGGAGTTTGCAAGCGGCAGTTCAGAGGATGACTTGGAAAGTATGAGTAGGAGTCAGTCTGAGGAGTCTCTTGATGAAGATGCAGTTATCGGTGGATCTGAACCTGTCTTTGGACCTGTTCCTGTGTCTCCTAGAGTTGTAGAAACTCTGATTGGATCCATTAAGGACAGGGTTAATGCACTGCAGAAGAAGGTTGAAGAAGAGAATGAGGTGGACAGTCAAAAGTGGAAATCCCAAAAAGTCAGTACTTCCCAGAGTAAGCCATATGTCACAAAGACAGAAAAATCAGCCAAGCTTCCTCCAAAATCCCTCAGATCCCCAAAGTCACAGACGGAACGGCTAGAGGAAACTATGTCTGTAAGAGAGCTGATGAAGGCTTTTCAGACTGGCCAGGATCCATCGAAAAGCAAGTCTGGACTTTTTGAACATAAAGCAATTATGACTGTAACCTCTGAAGCAGCACGTTCTGATGTGATACAAGTTCCCCCAACATATGATAGCCAAAATACACTACCAACTCAACGTTTACAAGAAAGAACAATTACAACTGTAACCTCTGAAATGCCAAGTCCTAATGTGGTGCAGATTCCCCCAACATATGGTAGCCAAATGACAGCAACAACTCAACATTTACAAGAAAGAACAATTACAACTGTAACCTCTGAAATTCCAAGTCCTAATGTGGTGCAGATTCCCCCAACATATGATAGCCAAATGACAGCAACAACTCAACATTTACAAGAAAGAGCAATTACAACTATTCCCTCTGAAGCAAGTTCTGATGTGATGCAGGTTCCTCCAACATATGATAACCAAATTCCAGAATCAACCCAGCATTTACAAGAAAAAATTGTAGTAGAAAACAAGATCCTTCAAGAATCATCACATATTGACCAAAACACAATTCAGCATAAACCAGTGATCGATGATGGTGAAGCAGTACATGAAAAACCACTAACGATCATCCAAATCGAAGGTGATCATGCTGTAACTTCCAACATTATCTTTAACTTTGAAGAGAAAAGCTCTCCAGAAGACCTGCTCGGTAAACATACAGCAAATGACCAAAATGGAAAACCATTACAGGAACCAGAAACTGAGGAACAACAAATATGTTCTGAACTATTAAGTAACGAAGAACCGCGGTTGATACGTGAGAGAATGTATTATGAAAATAACATCTACCAGAACAGGAGATTGTCTGTGGAACCTCAGATCAGCCCAGACAGGAAACCATCAGAGGATTTCAGTGCAGATATTAAGGCAGAACTTGAGGAAAATCCTGAATATCTGCTCTTTAGGCGAACTTCAGGTGAAGCAAGTAAACATTATTTAATGTGTAGTGATGGCCTTTCTTTGGAAGATGAGGAGCAGATACACCAGGCAGCAGTGGATCCAAGTAAATCAAACATAATCACTGCATTTGCTACTGCAATGGTGCAAGGTGAACCCTTACGTCAAAGTGAAATACATGATGGAGCATTGGAAGAAAGTCATGATAGTGACAAACACGAGGCCTTAGCAGACTCTCCTGGCAATAGTATAGGGACAAGGACTCCTCACTCCAGCACAGGTGACGGTGAGAAACATTTGGGACTTGCTGAAACCCCTCAAAATAGTCCGGAAGTCCTTGTTTTTTCTTCCAGTACAACTCGTAAAGAAACAGAAGACAGATATCCAGGGGACCAGGAGACAATTCACCAATCAAGTTCGATATCACATGAAAGAGCGGAGAGTGACAAGAGTGAATTATGTTCAGTAACCTCCATAAAAAGCAAGACTGAATCACCTTATGATTCTAAGATTGAATCATCTTCTCCATCCACCAATATTGAGTCACCGTCTTTTGCTAATTCAAAGACAATAGTTCAAAATATAATTCAAGTTATGAAATTAGAGAGTGAAATATCAGCACATAATATGAAAAGTGATTATACCTGTAAAGATAGCATGAAGCTGATCAAATCGGATGTAATTACTGAGTCTGAGAAGATACCACAATACAGCCATCACAGTCAAGATGCACCAGAGAGACCTTCTAGTTTGGATTCTCTGCAGCCTGCAACCATGAGTGATACTAAAACTCTCTGTAGAATAGACTCGCTTGAGACTACTCCCATCAGAGAAGATGGATCATCCCAAAAATCCCCAGACTCTATTGAGCCAAGCCCAACCAAGGAGTCCCCATGTCAAGACTCTTTAGAGGGAAGTCCCACTGGTCAAGAATCTGGTCAGCTGAGTTACACTGAAAGGGTCTTCTCAACAAGTCAGGCTTTCATTTCTGACTCTGGGGAAAAAGAATTAATTTCTAAACAAAACATTTATTTAGAAAGTGAGTCATCCCAAGGTACCCATGATACCTTAGATATGCAGTACATTTCCATGACCCTGGAGCAAAAAGAAAAGGTGATTGACAGTGGGGATCTTTATGACTTTGATGCTTTACAAAGGCAATTCACTCCAGAAGAAGAGATGTTTAAGATGGCTGCAAAGATCAAAACATTTGATGAAATGGAAAAGGATGCAAAAGTTAAAAAGGTAAAATTTGATTTTGATTGTGGTTCTAAACAACCAAAAGAGGAAGAAGTGCTGTCACCACATAAAAGTTCACTAAACTTTAACACAATGTTAACCATAACATCAGAAGAGCAGTACTCCGAGAACCCTGCTGAATCTGGTCCAGTATTTCCCTTACATTCCTCATTGTCAGATGATGATTATGACAGTCCTGAGTTGGATGAATCAACTCACAAGGTCTCAGGAGAAACCACTGAGGTTTTAGAGACCACAGACAAAATGGAGGAGGTACATGCTCATTTAAAGATTGTTGATTTACAGACATGCATAGACATTCCATCTATGCAAACACATGTAGAGAACGAGGAGGAAGACTATGAACAGTTACCTTCAGAGTACCATAGTATAGTGATTGGTGAGACTACAACTAAGGAGGATCTCATTATTACATCAGCAGAGAGCAAAATGGGCATTGAGAAGGATGGTGATGTTGAATCTACTGGTGAGAGCACAACTTCTGAAAAAGTGCTTTCTCCCATCGACAATGTAGGTGCCACCACTGTTACAAAGGAAGTGCAGGATGAATCCCAGCCAGATGTATGTATTTATCAAAAGGACAATGAAGAGAAGCCAGAAGAAATCCCACTGTCTATTCCAAGCGACTTGGTTCCCTGGAGTGCTGAAGTGGAAGACGATGAGGCATTCGATGCAAAAATTGAGGCTGAGGAGCAGAAAATACTTGCTTTGTGTATAGACAGACGTTCCCATGGAACCACACCTGACACAACTCCAGGACGAACCCCTACTGAAGAGGGGACACCAAATCCTTTCCTCTTCCAAGAGGGAAAGCTATTTGAGATGACCAGAGGTGGCGCTATTGACATGACCAAAAGGACCATGGAGGAAGAAGAAGAAAGGTTAGTCTTTTTTCCGATAAATGAAGATCCAAGTGAAGAATTTGAGCAAGTCAATTTCAGTGCTAGTGAGTCTGTTGCAATAGCTTCATTTGAGATGCCTACAGATGGTTTAGTTCATCAAGACAGACTTACTGAGGAACCTGATGGCTTTAGTAAAACTGGAACCAAACGTGTTCAACCAGAACATCCAGAACAGAATGATTTTCCTATCCAAAGTGAACCAAAGAGTCCCACAGAGGATAATGGAATCTGTGAAGACACATTAATACCGAATGTTGACACTGCCACTTATACAGTAACACGAACAGTTTATTCTGAGCAAGACCCGGAATCCTCTGACTCTTCAGTGGAAGATGAACAGCATTCTGTTGTTGAAATGCCCATATCCACCCAAGTATCTACAATTTCCCCTAGTGCCTCAGTTCATACTGTTAGTCAACAACAATTCCAGACACCTTCAATGTACACTCCATCCAAAGACCTTGTTGCTGAAATTGAAGACACAACATCTAAACCAAAAATAGCTTTAAAAGCAGCCAGCTTTGACCAAGTTTTAGGACAAGGGGACTCCATTGAACAGAATCAAAGGCCTAAATCTGTAACAGATATTGGTGACTCAGAATGGTCCATGTCTGTTGTAGATGATCACACTAAAATAGACAGCAGCTACACCAAACCAAAGACTTCATCCTCCCAGATGCCTGTTTCACCGACACAGTCTCCTAACCTACAGTATGCTGTATCCAGTCAGCCTGAACTTCCTGCTGAATTCTCTCAGGATTTGGACTCTTCAAGGAGCACAGAGCGTGATAAAACCAAAGGAGGCAGAGCCTCTGTTGAGTTCGGGATAGAAAGTAGTTTGAAAGCAAATCGACCCCCGTCCGTAGGCGATGATGTCTTTGAGTCAAGGCCCAACTGGGAAGATTGTGTGGAGACACAGATGCAGAGAATCTCAGACAGCACTACCCCAGACCAAAGTAAAGGTACCTCTACTTGGCACTATATGGTATTACTTAATCTAAAATTTACTCCATGCCAGTCTCTTTTCATATGATTTTTTTTACATTATTTCCTGTTCTGTGTTGTCTTGTGTTTTGTGCTATACTTTGTATATATCACAATGTTTTCTTGTATGTCTGTGTGTCATGTTTTGTGACTTTTTATGTCATGTTTTATTCATTTGCACATCAGTGTGTACATGAAAACTGAAATCTCAAGATTGATTGTCTACATTTATTTGCTAATAATACAGTTACCTGTGCATTGCATGCTAACTACAAGTTTCCTCTTAGAAATAATAAAACAACCATGACAAGGGCACTTTTTGTGTAAAAAGTTTTAAAAGAATGTTATGGCATATATTATTTCAACAGATCTTCAGTCACCATGTTGTCCAACCTAGCTTCAATTAACATTTCTTGATCCCACTGTTAGAGGTTTAAATGAATTTTTAAATTATTTATAGACATATAAAGACTTTACAACAACTCTACTCACACATTTACGTGATATCTCAAGTATCTTTAGTGCACGTCCCATAATACAAAGTCAGAAATTGTTAAAATAGTCCATTTAGTTTATATCAGAACTGTAAAGGAATTTGATGTTCAATCGTTTGTGTGTGTGTGTGTGTGTGTGTTTGATTGCATTTCATTAAGTATTAATGAAAATACTCTGACTGATGTTTACAGTGGACTGGCATGATGATGCAGATAGGAAAGAAGAGACTTTGGCCATCATTGCTGACCTTCTAGGTTTTAGTTGGACAGGTGAGTTTATCAGTATCAAGTAGTCAGATCATCAACTGCCTCTTACATTACATAAAATTACATTGACCAGATATCATAATTGACTTTGGGGCAGTAAACACCATAGCAACCCCTCAGAGCATCCTAGTAACCACATAACAACATACTAAAAACCACCCAGAATACTGTAGCAACAGCACAGCAACACTGTGGCAACTGCTCACAAAATTCTAGCATCCTGGGGGCAAGAGAGCACCATTTTTCTTCCAAAAATAATAAGAAAAAGAAAATGGAAAAAGCTTTAAGTGGATATGTTTCTTTTTTAACAGCTTATACAATAATCTGTTTTCAGAGCTGGCCAAAGAGTTGGAGTTTAACGAAGATGAGATTCAGCAAGTGCGTGCTGAAAACCCAAATTCACTACAAGAGCAGAGTCATGCTCTTTTACAGCGCTGGGTAGAGAGAGAAGGAAAGCATGCAACTGGTAAATCCTGTTATTATTTACTCTTTTAACAGTCAATGCCTAAAGTCCATTTTAATTGATAGTTTCTGATTATGTCTCAAATTCCACAGAAGATACATTGATTAAAAGACTCACTAAAATAAATCGCATGGACATTGTCCATCTTATTGAGATCCAAATGCACAAGTCAGTTCAGGAGCAAACCTCAAGAACATATGCAGAGATTGAAAAGACCCTGGACCACAGTGAAGGTAGGACATTCAGCATAGTCTTGTTTTACATTTAGATGTTAAACACAAGATTTAGATCCTAAAAACAAGCCTTGAAGTCAAAGTCTTAGTCCTTACATTGTCAAAGTAAATGTTTTGTCTTTTGTAGCTCTCTCCTCAGTCCAAGAGGATGGTGACAGTCTTCGGGTGGTGCGGAGAGTGGAGACTTCACAAAGGCATCCTCCAGCTGTGTCAGAAGAAGACTTATCTGTGGCCTCTCTCCTTGACATTCCATCGTGGGCTGAAACAATGGGAAACACCCATTCAGAGAGCATTCATGGGGATATGATTGAAGAATTGGAGATCAACCAGTTAGTGATACATAGATTGACTTTTACAGTGATGTTTACATTATCAAAAACATTCAGTTAATCTTCTGGTATTGCACCTCCTGGTCATTCACTTTCCACTCTCAATATCTCCTAGGGACAGCTTCACCAATCCATGGCTGTTTCAAGAGATCAAAAAAGAATCTACAAAGGAAGATGCAGATGAAGAAGTAAGTTCATGGCATTGTGCTTTTGAAACATAATAAGAGGGTCATGTCCCGAATGTCTGAACACCAAGAAACCTTCCACAGGGACTGATTACTGAATGATAAATGATTACATGAATCTGTTTCTAAGCTGAACTCATGATCATTGCATGTGCTGTTTTAGTTTGTTGTTTGTCTCTCACTGGTTGTAAGTATCCCTTCAATATCATCTCTTTTCCCTTGTCATATTTTCCATACCTCATATAATTTATCCCATAGGTTTCTGCCGAATCTGAGGAGGAAATTCAAGCTCAGTGTGACTTTTCTGACCATGAAAATGCTTGTCTCTCTTCATCACCAATCATTTTGAACAGTCAGTCAGAATTCCAACAACAATCAACAAAGGCTTCTCAAAATGTCTTTAATTTCAGTCAGGTATCTATTACGAGATTTTCTTCAAGTGAAAATTCAGTTTTGTCAACAGTTGACTCTGAACACACAGTACCCGACCTACTGCAACACACTTCACCAGAGAGTCAAGAAGAAACAACTCAACTCCAAGAGCAAAAGTATCAAGAAGAAAGTTCTGTGTGTCTTGATCAAGTGTCACCTGTACATGAAAAAAGTGATTTAGAAGGCAATGAAAAATCAGTAGAGGCGCATCACTTTGAATCTGATGAAACTTCAGACACCATGGAGTCTTCTTCATGTCATGAAAGCAAATCATCTGAAGTTGATATATCGGTTCCTGAGAGCAATCAAATAGTAGGCCAAAATATTAGTCCTTCATTTTCCCCTCATGCTCTTGAAAGGGAGGCTGATGAAGCTGTCTCACACAGTGTTGAAGTGAATCCAGGGGTTTTGAGAGTGACTCCAGACCTCATTAAGGGCTCTCCAGAATCAGATCAGGTCTCCCTTACCCCAGAAATGCTTAGTGATTTGGATCCAGTGCCATCATTGCAAAGCCACAGAGTAGAAGAGCACAATTTTGTTGAATCCTCTCCTACAACTGACTCTGCATCACTGCAGTCATCTACCCATCACGAGGTCACAATTTTAAATCAAGAACAATATAATACCAACAGCTCCCCACAGCAACCTTCAGAGCCTGAAGTTGATCCTAGGATAGACCAACAAACTGATTCCCATGAACAACATCTTCAACTATTAGAGTCTCTAGAGCAAAAGCCAGAAAACTTTGGAGACCATTGTGGTGATCAGGAAGATGAATATAGTCCTGAGGAAGGAAAAGTATGTACACAATTGGATTTAACTACTGAACCTTTCATAGATGACAGTCATGACTTTAAGAAAGAACTGTTGTCCCAATCAGAGACTGACTCGGACATGTGGATTCAAAGTGAAACACCACAGCTGAGTGAAACTTCACCTTTCTGTAATTCTGACCTTAGTCCACAAACACCAGAAACAGTCATAACTTGTCAACATTTTGACTTTAGGGAGAAGTCTTCTGAACTTGGATCAGCATCTATTAAGAAAACTGTTTCACAGGGGGCAGTGGTATCCAAAGGTTTAAGACGACTGCAATCGGAATCAATAATTTCTAGTGCAACCCATCAGTCAGAAGAAAAGCATATTGACCGGTGTCTCTCAGAGTCCTCCGATCCTTTGATGCCTCTGAACATGAATCCAGCACTTAAGGAAACTGTTTCCCAGGAGGATGTACTAGCTCCGCCACTCTCTCAGGATGGCAGAGACAAGACCTTAACTTCCAAAGATTCCAGACGACTGCTGTCAGACTCAGTTATGTCTGGTGCAACATCCCAAAAATCAGAGGGAAAACACTCTGCCCGTTGTCTTTCTGATTCTTCTGAGCCCTTGGTTTTCAGCATGAATTCCGTGCTTGAGGAACTTACGAAAACAGTTCAACCAGAACAACCATTGTCTGATCAACCACTCAGCCCCGAGATGACTGTTTCATTAATTCTTGGTGAATCCCAAGACACATTCACAGGGAAACAGCAATCAATGGTTGAAAAAACATCAATCGAGTCACCTAAATCTCAAATTGATCTAAGTGAAACTGTAAAATTAGAAGTCACCGATGTGCCAAAACCTGGCAAAGTTGAAAAACCAAAACACAAAGATTTACTAAGCATTGATCAACAACATGATGAGTCTGATCCTGAGACTTTTTTCGACTGCAAACAGACTATCTCAGACTATTCTGAAGCAGAAGAAGACGAACCTGGGAAAGGTGCCATGGCGCTGAGTAAAAAAGTCTTACGGTCTACTGTTCATGAATTACAACAACCAAATGTCAGAAGTCCCTCAGGATACAAGTCACCCCATGAGAGCCCTTGTTGGTCAATCAGGTCATCAGACAGTGAAGATTTCGAGGATTCTCCCATTATCCATGAACCTAATAATGATGCAGAGAAAAAAGACGTTTACTTTCCATGGCAGCAGAAAAGTTTGGAATCATCTGCACAAACTCCTCAGGAACTTCCTCCTCGAGGAGGGGCTGAGTATAATGATGATGATGATGATGATGATCTGAGGAGGGTAAGCGTCCTCAGCATGACCTCCCCCTCCACCCATCCTTCTCTGAGCTACCCTAATCCATTTCCTGCTGAATGAGTTTGCTGAAGGGATGGTGTTTGGTTTCTTTGAATTAACAATTTCACTAATTAGGTGGATTTTAAAACCTGAAAAACCTTTAGCTCAAGCAAAAAAAAAAAAAACGTGATCATGTCACATTCATGCCTTAACACCATCATAATTGCTGTCAGCTTGTTCAAATAGTGCTGATGCATGTACTACATTTATGACTGTAAGGTCATATACTAAATATGCAGGATTTTGCAAGTGAGAAATAACTATATCATAATGTAAATAACAAGTTTTTTCATAGATATTTACACTAACAACTAAGCAACTGATTGCTGGTTTTGAAGTAACTTTCTTATCACGCAGTTGTTTCATACAAGAAATCTGTTTAAAAATGGTGCATGTTGTGTCAAGTTAACAATGTTTTGTTGCCCCCTCTGTTGTTTTTCTGTGATGTTTTTGATAACAAGAATTGCCATTAATTTTGATCTTATTGATTTGATTGTCAAATTCTTATAATGTTTTATCTTATGCTGTTTTGCCAGAGGGGGCAGCATTGCATTCATTTTTCAGATTAATTTTTTTAATGTTTTATTATACATTTCATGTACATTTCAATCTTATATTAAGGCCTGATTTTTCATACATACTGTTTGGTTAGGAGATTGATGAGGCATTAGGTGTGCTGTCGGATAGCTCTGACGAGGATGTGGTGACCACCAGAGTGGTGCGAAGGAGAATAATTATTCAGGTATATCTATGACTGAAGATTGCTTGCTCCATTTTGGAGGTTCAGTGTGAAAGCTGCAGTGTTTCTTAACATATATTTGGTGTACAACTTTGGCCTAGGCTTACTGAATAACCCATTCCCAACAAGCTGTGTGATGGTTTTTCATGTAGCTCTAAGATTTATTTCGGAAACGGTTTTGATTTTAAAATCCTGCATTTTCAGCTGTGACTTAACCTGCCTGCTCCTCAATTGTTAGTAGAAGTTTTCCATTTTAAGCTAAGAACACACGTATGATCTCCCCTATATTATATTATATCGTTGTTGACACTTAATCACCATAAAATGGACAACTTCTATAGGAAGTGTGCTCCTTTCTATTTGGGATGGATATTTTCAACATTATTTCTTTATTATTCCTCTTATGCTAACCCTAACCTTTACTGAAGCCAGGGCAGCTGTTTCCTCTTATGGTGAACACTGCTTTAAACATTGAGATGTAATGATTAAGTGTCTGGTTTCTTCTACAGGGTGATGATGTTCCAGATGTTCCTCCACAGTCTGTAACAGAAGAGCAATACACAGATGCACAGGGAAACTTGGTTATGAAGAAGGTAAACATCCAAGATTTGCAGTATTCGTGTATCCATTCAACCATTCTTTAATCCAACCTTCTATCCATTCACCCTTTAGTCCATCCATATGCCCTTTATCCATTTTACAATCCATCCTTCCTTTAATCCATCCATCCATCTTTGGAAACACTTTATTTCCAGGGGGAAGTCGTGGCCTAATGGTTAGAGAGTCGGACTCGTAACCCAAAGGTTGCGTGTTCGAGTCTTGTACCGGCAGGGATTGTAGGTGGGGGGAATGAATGTACAGCGCTCTCTCCAACCTTCAGTACCACGACTGAGGGGCCCTTGAGCAAGGCACCAAACCCCCAACTGCTCCCCGGGTGCTTCATTCATTCATTCATTCAAAGGATGGATGGAAGATTTTATTAATTTTTTCATTCATTCATTCATCATCCATCCATTCACCCATTCATCATCCATCCATTCACCCTTTCTTCCATCCATTCATTCATTCATCCATCCATCCATCCATCCATTCACCCTTTCATCCATCCATCCTTTCACCCTTCCATCCATCCATCCACCCTTGCACCCATCTACCCATTCATGCATTCATTCATTCATTCATTCATCCAGCCATCCATCCATCCATCCCTCCACCCTTGCTTCCATCCACCCATCCATACACCCTTGCATCCATCCAAACATCCATTCACTCTTTCATCCATGCATCTATCTACACTTCCTTCCTTCTTTCATTCCTTCCTTCCTTCCATCCATCCGACTGATCAACAATGGATTTATGCTAAATACATCATATCCGTACAAATTTGTTTATCTTACTCTCTCACCTTCTCAGGTGACCAGGAAGGTCATTCGACGATGTGTGTCATCTGATGGGGTGGAGACAGAGCAGGTGAGGATGGAGGGCTCCCCCCAGCAGCCTGTCAATGTGGCACCAGGGGATGGATACTCAAAAGTAATAAAAAGGACAGTACTGAAAAGCGAAGGACATCAGACAGAGGTGTGTGATGCTAAAACTAAATTAACTTAATCTAATCAACTTAATGAAATCACTTAATCAAAATATAGCCATTTAATGAGTTTTGCTAAATGTTTTATTTCATTTCAGGTGACTTTCCATGAGCAAGATGGCATGTCATCTTCCAAGGGTGAATCTGCTCTAGGTCAAGAGGTCAGACAGGTGGTCCAGACGACGATGGTACATGGAGAACAGCTGGAAAAGCATGAGGGGGATCCTTATCTTGCCTCAGACCTGCCCTCAGCCCGGGAGGATTTCACCCAGGTGAGCTGCCAATCACAGCAGTCATTTCTGACATCTATAAAACATCAGATTTTAAAGATTAGGGTCATTTTAATGAGGAAAAGTGCAGAATTACCACTGTCTTAATATTATGCCTGTAATATTTTTTTTCTAACCAAAAGTTCTTTCACAGTTTGTTCCAGTTTATCAGCTTTTTATATTATGCAACCAGAAACCTGTGATAAAATTATATAAATGCCATGGCTGGTCCTGAGAAAGTAATTACATCTGTGACTAACAGCTGTTCTGACTATTATAATATAATTTATAATATATAATTTAGTGTTAATGTAGTGTGTGCCTCATTCCCTCAGGCTCTAAGCTACTTTGGAGGTTTTAGGAAGGTGCAGATTCCTCAAGTGGTAGAGCAGAAAATACTGCAGCCTGATGGATCTGTGATCAGAAGGTTTGAGAGACAGGCATGGTGTTTGTGTGCATATTAGTGTGAAAGTGTGTTTATGGGGGCAAGTAGAAGTAAAAAAAAAAAAAAACTATCTTCAAAACTTTGGGGTC